TTGCCCTACAGCACTGCACCTGAATGAGGGACTTCCAGGATCTCCCAGGGACAAAAATTGCTCTCAAGGGAAAAAGAGGACGAAAATGGGGCCATGTGAACCATGGACTGGGCCTGAGCTGTGGGGCTCCTGGGGTGAGGCTTTGCCAGGAACACCCAAAGCCTGAGCCTCTATCACTCAGCATCTCCCAGCCGGGCTAGAAAAGGGGAGGAGGCACATGTTGGGTATGACTTGGGTATGACTTGGGAGTTTCATTTGAGGACCCCAGAAATAACTGGGGCTCATAAAGTGCTACTCGGAGCAGGTGGGAGACCTGCCCCTCATTCAAGTTACTAATTTTCATACTTTTAATAGAAACAGGGGTTCATCATGTTGGCCAGGCTGGTCTCAAGCTCCTGACCTCAGATGATCCACCCACCTTGGCCTCCCAAAAGTGCTGGGATTACAGGGCATGAGCCACTTAGGTCCAAGCCTGTTGTTGTTTAAATAAACCAACTCTTGCTGAGATATCACTCACACTTTAGTGCACACCCATCACCGATTTTAGAGCATTTTCGTCACCCCCTAAGGAATTCTGTACTCAAGGCCAGGTACGGTGGCTCAAGCCTGTAATTCCAGCACTTGGGGAGGCCAAGATGGTAGGATTCACTTGAGGCTGGGACTTCAACCAGACCGGGCCACATAGTGAAAACCCGTTACTACAAAAAAATGTAAAATCTTTTTTTTTTGCAGGGTGTGGGTGCACACTGCGGTCTTACCTACTCAGAAAGCTGAGGTGGAAGATCATTTGAGTCCAGGAGTTAAGGCTGCAGTGACTATTACTGAGCCACTGCGCTCCAGCCTAGGTGACAGAGCAAGAGCTCATCTCTAAAGACAAACAGAGAAAATTGTGGCCGGGTGTGGTTGCTCACGCCTGTAATGCCAGCACTTTGGGAGGTCAACGTGGATGGACCACAAGATCAGGAGATTGAGAACATCCTGGCCACATGGTAATACCTGTCTCTACTAAAAAATACAAAAATTAGCTGGGTGTGGCACATACTGTAGTTCCAGCTACTGTGGAGACTGAGGCAGGAGAATTGCTTGAATCTGGAGGCAGAGGTTGCACTGAGCCGAGTGCCACTGCACTTCAGCCTGGGTGACAAGAGCAAAACTCTATCTCAAAAAAAAAAAAGTTAAAAATTTAAAATTAGGCTGGATGCAGTGGCTTATGCCTATAATCCCAGCACTCTGGCAGGCTGAGGTGGGCAGATCACTGAGCTCAGGAGTTCAAGAGATCAGCCTGGCCAACATGGTAAATCCATCTCTACTGAAAAAAAATACAAAAATTAGCTGCATGTGGTGCACATACCTGTAATCCCAGCTACTTGGGAGGCTGAGGTAGGAGAATCACTATTGACCCAGGGAGGCAAAGTTTGCAGGTAGGAGAGATCCCACCACTGCACTCCAGACTAGGTGACAGAGCAAGACCTGGTCTCAAAAAAAAAAAGTAAATGAAAGAAACCCTGAGTTCTGTAGCAGACACTCCGTTCCTCCTAGCGCCTTGCGCCACCTCCATGGTCACAATTGTGTGCCCTTATTTCCCTCCCAGTCTGAGAAACAGGGGTTCACAGGGAGCTGACCAAGAGGAGGGGTCTCTGACAACACGTGGAGACTCCCCAGCAGCTCCTCCTCCAGGTCTACAAGGAACAAATCCAGGACCCAAAGACACCAGGTCCCAGAAGCCAAAGCCTGGGATGAGGCCAGCAGGAGGCAGCCTTTGCCTCTGCCTTTCACCAGGATGGGCTGGGTGGGGACACATAATGCGGGGAGACGTGGGACACGGCAGAGTGGGGAGAGACTCTTGCTGCTCCAGGCACAGCCAAGCTAGTGCCTTAGTTTCCTTCCTCAAATCTGCAAAGGGTGAGTTCTTCACAGCTCACTGCAATCTCCGCCTTTTGGGTTCAAGGGATTCTCCTGCCTCAGCCTCCCAAGTAGCTGTGATTACAGGTGCACACCACCACGTCTGGCTAATTTTTGTATTTTTATTAGAGACAGGGTTTCACCATGTAGCCAGGCTGGTCGTGAACTCCTGACCTCAGGTGATCCACCAGCCTCTGCCTCCCAAAAGTGCTGGAATTACAGTCATGAGCCACCACACCAGGCCCCACAAAGGGTGACTCTTCCCTGCCTGCTGAGCTAGACTGCCATGGGAGTATTGGGGACTGCAGGAAATGCCCCCACTCCTGGCTGTTCTGCCTCAATCTCGGCGTTCTGTAATACCCGTCCCCCAGGGCCTGGCATCTCCACCCTGTTTGTCCCTGCCACCTAGTCTGCTGTTCAGGATGCCATCACACCTCTCTCTAACCCCTGGGTGTGCCTTGGGACTCACACCTCTGTGGGATCCACCATGGTCCTGATGGGCTCCCACAAGAGGCCGGAGAGCATCGAGCAGGTCTGCCACATCCATAGTCTAAGCTCCATGACCACCTGTGCAAGCAGGAGGTGATGCTCAGGGAGGCTGATGAGCTGCTTCCCTGGGGAGCCAGGACCCTGCTGAGCTCTAACTGCCCCCTGGGCTCCCCAACATTGGGACAGCAAAAAGCAGGGGGTTGGAGGGGCTAGAGGCACCTGGTCATTCCAGCTGCATCCCGTGTGCAGCTTCCCAGCAGTTTTGCTAATGAGCTCTTGGAAGTGAAGGGAGGCCCAGGGTCACAGTCTAGATGCCCAGAGGAGTCAATCCAGGCAGGGCAGCTTTCATCAGCCCTGCCAACCTCCCTCCCTACCCAAGGGCCCAGGTCTTGCCCAAATCTCTCACCAATTCTGCTTAGCCCTGTTGTTCATTTTTTTCTTTCAATTTTTTGTAGTTATGAAACCTTGTTATGTTGCCCATGCAAACTCTTGGCCTCAAGTGATCCTTCCACCAGAGCCTCCCAAAGTGCTAGGATTATAGGCATGAGCCACTGCAACTGGCCATGTCCTGAGATCGTCACTGCTGTCTGCCAATGGTGAAGTAAATGGAACAATGGTGCTAATGCTCCAAGTGGCCCAGGGCCAGGTGAAGACAGGAGCCAGGAAAGCAGTGGGGCTGCAGGGATCTTACCTTCAGGTGGTGCTCGCTGGCTGTGTGGATGTCCTCATCATTGGGGTTGAGTCTGAAGGTGCCCTAGGCCCACTTCTCAGTCACCTATAGCAGGTGGCAGTAACGCTGGGGGGCAGGCGAACAGGTATCAGGAGTCAGGAGAGCCCCTGCCCTGGTCCCACCCTATCCCTAATGGCTGACTGTCCCTGTCTAGGAGCTGAGTCCTGAAAGCACACCTTGGGAAGGGGCATCTGGGGTGGGGGACATCTTCACTCATGAGCCATGTGGCATCAGGGGTCATTAAAGGATGGAGAGAGGCACTCATCAAGGCATGCAGTTAAACAGCACTTGAGCATTTAATTAGTTCAACATGAAACCACAGACTGGCAACACTGCACTATTTGCTCAGGGATTTGGTGGGAGCCTGGGGCCACAGGGAGGGGCCTCGGGCCACAGGGAGTACCTGGTAAGCTGCCTGTTCCTTGAGCACAATGTGTACCAAGGGAGCTGGAGTGAGGGTAGCTCCATGGGAAAGGGACAGGATTGCCACCCTGAGCTGTGTGACCATAGGCAAGAAGACCCCTCTTCTCCAAATGAGGTCAACCACACAGGTGATTTTGGGAGCCGGTGCCGCGCTCAGACAGTCTGGATTTGAGCTTTGTAGGTAGATGGGAACCTGGGAGGGTTTAGAGATGCTGGGAGAACCTTTTTCCTGGGAGAGCTTTCCAAACAGGGAACAAACAGAGCCACCCTGGGCCCCGCTGAGAAAGGATCCTACTGGAAGCTCTCGCCACTGTCTTGCTCCCACGCTGGTGGTGATGGTGATGGTGATGTCATCAATGCAGGTAGTGTCGTGAACAGAAGCACAGACCGCTGCAGTCCCGCCGAGCTGAAGTCAAAGTCTGTGTTGTGGACAAAGTAACCCTTGGGATATCCAGGGTGGGAGAACTGTGGTTTGCTGGACCCCTGCTGTGGGTTGTTTAACCTCAGCTCACATGTCTGTGGCCTCCCCAGATCCAGGCCCGTCCATTCTGTGAAGGCAAATCTGTCCCTAGCAGGAAGACTATGGGGTGGGGTGGGGAGGTGGGGCGTGTGGTGGAGGCCAGGATGGTAGCCACTTGCAGGTGTCAGTCATGTAGCAGATGATCCCTGGTGGCTGGATGGAGGGAGTGTGTCGTTGATGGCAATAGTGACGGGGAGGTGGGAGGGCAGGGGCCCCACCTGGACCAGGCTGCTGATGTTGGCCTTGAAGGGGAGGTAAACCCCCATGCTCTAGCACATCGACCCGTTCACCCATCACAGACACTGGAGATATGGGGAGGGGGTGGCAGGTTCAGTGCATGAGGAGGGGCCATTTTATTGGGCACTCCCTCATAACTTGCAGCATAGAGCTGAGGCCTGCCAGCCAGACGGGAAGAATGGCATCCCAATGGGGTAGACTAGGTCACCTATCCCCCTACACAGGGAACAGCCTCCAGGGCAGAGCAAGGAAGGGCCCCTCACCGTTCCAACCCAGGAGACAGGCTGTGGGTGGCACCTGGGACTCCCATGCTGTTCAGCAGCCACACCCACCCACCTGCCCTACGTGCTCCTGGCTGCACTCACCAGAATGGCATAGGAGTGGGCACTGCCAATCCTCAGCACCACTCTTCTCTGCAGGGTCCTGGGTCCACCACTCTGGCAAGGTCACATCCCATTTGTGCCACACCCAGCTGACAAAAATGCCATAGCCCCGCGAGTCCTGGCAGATGTTCTTGAAGCTGGAGAGAACCTGCATGTCCAGGGTGGGGCCAAACTGTGGAGAGGAAGGGTGGAGCTCAGCTCCTAGGCCCCCAAACAGATCTGGGACCAAGTTACAGCCCAAGAGGCTCTGGCCCGACTACTGGGAGGAGTGTTTGGGTGGCTCATGCCGGTAATCAGTGCTTTGGAAGGTCAACTCAACATAAAACGATGGCTTGAGGCCAGGAGTTCGAAACCAGCCTGGGCAAAGTAGTGAGACCCTATATCTAAAAGAAAAATTTTTTTTAATTAGCCAGGCGTGGAGCCCCCTAGCTACCTTGCAAGGCTGCAGCAGGAGGATCGCTTGAGCTCAGAAGTTAGGATTGCGCCACTGCGCTCCAGCCTGGGCAACAGGGCCAAGCCCAGTCTCAAAAAATATTTTAAAAATTAAAACAAACATTAAAAAAAAGGACACTGCCCGGGCTCAGCCTTCGCCTCGGGAGGGGGCTCGGCAGGGGCGCTTCCTCCTCCTCCGCAGCAGTCCTCCTGGGTCCCCTCCCTGCCCCACTCCTCCAACCCAGCGCTCCCAAGCCCACTGACCTTTAACCTCCTCTGGGCCCCCAACCCCCGGGCGACAAGGGAAAGGAGCCTGCGAGGCGGCCCGGGCTCCCCTACCGCAGCAGCGGCCGCTACCACCGCTCCTGGAAGCCCCGGCGCCGGTCGTCGGAGAAGTCGGCGCGGAAGCTCCAGGGGCTGTCCAGCTCCTTGCACTTCCATGACGGGCTCTCCCGGGGGTACAGCATCCCGCCCTGCAGCACCACCGTGCAGCCACACAATAGCCCTGGCGCTGCCTAAACCACCGCGGACCCCAAAGTCAGGCTTTCCGCTCTGCTGCTCGGGTTCCGGCTGCGGGGATAAAAGAAGCCCGGGAGGAGGCCGGCGGGCACGTCGCTTGACGTACTGAGGCCGTCGGCGCCATTTTGGTTGAGGGCGAGTGCCAGGTCTGGAGGGGAGGGGGAGCCGGGAGCTGCTGGGTGGTGCCAGGGACTGGGAACCGCGGGGCTAGGCCTTGGCGAAATGGGACACTCACACTCAAACCCAGTCAAGAAGGGCAAGGTCTTCCCACCCCGACCCAGGCTGGACGATGTGAGATTCCCTATTTTCTTCAAGGAGCACCTCCACTTGCTTTCCCCAGCGTAACTCCTCTGAGCAGGACCCAAGGGAACCTCTTCCATGCCTGCCAGGTGCATCGGTGGCCCTCGCCTGTAATCCCAGAACTCTGGGAGGCAGAGGTTGGTGGATCACTTGAGGCCAGTCTGGCCAACATGGCGAAAACCGATCTCTACTAAAAAAAATCAATAAATAGCTGGGTGTCCTGGCGGGCACCTGTAATCCCAGCTAGTAGAGAGGCTGAGGCTGGAGAATCGCTTGAACCTGGGAGGCGAAGGTTGCAGTGAGCCAAGATCATGCCATTGCACTCCAGCCTGGCCGGAGACTTATCACACACACACACACACACACACACACACACACACAAAAAAAAAAAGGCCAGGGCCGCGGCTCAAGCCTGTAATACCAGCAGTTTGGGAGATTGAAGTGGGCAGATCACTTGAGGTCAGGAGTTTGAGACCAACCGGAGAAACCCTATTCCCACTAAAAATACAAAAATTAGCCAGGTGAGGTAGTGGTCTCAGACCAGCTACTCAGAAGGCTGAGGCAGGAGAATTGCTTGAACCTGAGAGGCGGCCATTGCCATGAACTGAGATGGTGCCACTGTGCACCAGTCTGGGTGATAGAGTGAGATGCCATCTCAAAAAAAAATGTTTACTGAAAACCTTTAGAACAGGAAGGAAAGGAAAGGAAAGAAGAATAGTACAACTTGGAAGAGGGCCAAGTGTGTGACCTGAGAAACCAAGTGCCCTGCTAGACCTCTTGACTTGGGGTTTCATAAGCTGGCATCCTTCTGGGGTCTTGCCACTCCTGATTCCTTAGCTTGGGGCTGAGAACACACGTTCTTCTTAGACCATAAAGTCATTCTCAGGGAACACATCAGTTACGGCTGTTGCGTGCCCCTGCCATACAGAGGGGCCCCTTGGGTCCTAGGACCACCACCTGTCCCCACCCCCTGTCTGATGCTTGCCCAGTCTTCTGAAAATGGACCTTAACACTGGAAATGGAGTCCCCAGTGTAGTGAAATAAATACATTCTAGGAACTGACAAGGCCTAAAGGCTTTTTCACAAAGGTTTATGCTCTTTTTTCCTTATTTTCTTTAATTTACTTTTACATTACCTTAGCAAAAGGTTTACACACTTAAATTAGGATACATTTCACTGTTTATGAGGCAGGTTTAGGCCAAATTTAACAAAAGTAATCCCAGCAACAGGGGAGGCTGAAGCAGGAGAATCACTTGAACTCAAGAGGCAGAGGTTGCAGTGAGCTGAGATCATGCCACTGCACTCCAGCCTGGGCGACAGAGTGAGACTCCAACTCAACTCATAAGTAAATAAAGGGAGAAACATATATTTATATATGTATAATGTTTATGTTATATGAAAATTTTTATATACATTATATATACACATATAAAAAGGAATTTATTATGGGAAGTAGAATTTATTATGGGAAGGTCCTCTCCTGAGAGGAAGAAACTGTTGCCTCCACCACAACTTCTCTCTTGGCTCATTCCAAGCTTGGCCAAATTAGGGAAGTGAGTGGAGGTTGCTCTGCATGCCCCCTCCTCTGCCTAAGTGTGTTTTTGTAACATCAGCTGGCATCACACAAAGGGCAGGAGAAGCAAACACCCAGAACTCTTTTGCTGGTCAGAGATTCCCTGAGTGTCTGTCCTCACCCAAGCCTGCTCTGTGTGTCTGTGTTGTGAAGCTTGAGTCTTTGGAAAGAAATCGGAAGGGGGGCGGGGTGGCAAAAATGTTACCATGAGAATGCTTCTCATTCCTCTGTTCTTGTAGGGTCCTGTTTTGGGGGAGGGTGGGGGTTGGGGGAAGTGTGACCTTGTGTCTTTAATTTATTTCTTTGCTGTTCTGACACTTCCCTGGTCTTCTTTTCCCTGTTGGTTCTGGTCTTGTCTCTGATTCCTGGAGGTAGCCAGCCTCTAAATCCATGGAATTTCTTGAATGACAGGTGTGTCTGTTACTCATAGTGGCCACCCCAGGGTCACAACTGAGTGCATGCTAACCAGATGACTTGGCCAGGGGGCAACCACACCAGAAAGACCAACCATGTGATTTGAAGGTTGTGATGTTGAGCCACATAATGTCAGCCCGACCTCCAGAAAGGAACTGGGGGGCTGGAGATGGACTCAATTGCCTGGCCAATGATTGCATCAACCCACCTGCTGTGATAAAACCCCTGGACGTGGAAGCTAAGGTGATCTTCCCTGGTTTGAGATACACATCAGTATGCTGAGAGGATGATGCATCCTGAGGACACAGAAATGTCATCTTCAGGACTCTCTCGGAGTTTATACTACGTGTCTCTGCTTTTGACTGGCAGTTTTTCTTATATAAAATTGTAATGGAAATATCATGCTCAGCTGGGCACAGAAGCTCATGCCTGTATCCCAGCACTTTGGAAAGTTGAGGCAGGCAGATCACTTGTGTTTGGGAGTTCAAGACCAACCTGGCCAACACAGCGAAACCCTACCAAAAATACAAAAATTAGCCAGGTATGATGGCACTCACCTGTAATCCCAGCTACTAGGGAGACTGAGGCAAAGAGAATCATTTGAACCTGGGAGTCAGAGGTTGCAGTAAGCTGAGATTGTGCCATTGTACTTTTGCTTAACAGTGAGACTTCATCTAACAAAAAAGTATCTTGCTTTTCTGAGTTCTTTGAGTTGTTATAAATTATCAAACCGGAGGACACTGTGGGAACCTCTGAATTTGTAGCCAGTTGGTGAGAAGTACATGTGATCTGAGCACACCCAAACTTGCAGCTTGCATCTAATGTGAAGGCAGCCTAGTGGGGGTTTGTGGCCTTAACTTGTGTTGATGTTAACATCAGGGAGTTGACATCAGAATTGTGTCATACAGGACAGCTGTGATGGCTCATGCTTGTAATCCCAGCACTTCGGGAAGCAAGGTAAGAGGATCACTTGAACTTGAGTCTGGGGCTACAGTGAGCTACCACACCACTGCAGCCCAGCATAGGTGACAGAGCAAGACCCCAACTCCAAAAATAAAAAAATTGCATGGCACAGTGCCTGTCTTTAATGGCTCAAATGTTGCAGAAACTTTTTTTTTTCTTTGGAAAGCAGAGTCTCGCTCTGACACCCAGGCTGGAGTGCAGAGGCACAATCTCTGCTCACTGCTACCTCCAATTTCCAGGGTCAAGTGATTTCTCCTGCCTTGGCCTCCCGAATAGCTAGGATTGCAGGTGGCCACCACCATTCCTGGCTAATTTTTGTGTTTTTAGTGGAGATGGGCTTTCACCATGTTGGCCAGGCTGGTCTGGAACGCCTGCTGGGATCCCAGGTGTGAGCCACTTGAAACGCTAGAAAATAAAAACCTTTAGAGTATTTTTACCACCTGGTTTTCTTCTCTCAATGTCTTTCTCTCATTTCCTGCTTTAAATCTCTAGCTTAGGGGCTGGGCATGGTAGCTCATGCCTGTAATCCCAGCAATTTGAAAGGCCAGGGTGGGCGGATCACTTGAGGTCAAGAGTTTGAGTTCAGCCTGGCTAATATGGTGCAACCCTGTCTCTATTAAAATACAAACATTACACCTCACCGTGGTGGCACACACCTGTAGTCCCAGCTTCTTGGGATGCTGTGGCAGAAGAATGGTTAGAACACAGGAGGTGGAGGTTGCAGTAAGCCAAGACTGCACTACTGTACTTGATCCTGAGCGACAGAGCGAGACTCTGTCTCAAAAAAACAAAATAAACAAAAATCTCTAAGCTTGGGATTGGCCTTCTCTATTTTTTTTCTTTTTAAAAATAGATGTAGATGCTATGTTGCCCAGGTTGGTCTCAAACTCCTGGTGGTGATCCTCCTGCCATGACTTTAAAAGTGCTGGGATTATACATGTGAGCATTGAGCACAGCTTTGTTTTTTTCTACATGAAAAATAACGGGATTATCTTCCAGAGCTAATAAATATGTTCAAATAACCAAATATTTGGACATTTTTCCAAATAACATTAAGGAAAAATGTCACTTGATAGGAAATAAGCAATCCAGAGCAAGATGATTGCACTCTATAAAGGTGAAAAAACTTCATCTTTATTACATTTCCCCAATACATGCACTGCTCTGTTCTCTTGAAAACACACAGTGCATGTCCTCCTTTAAAACATACATCCTCTTTAACATACAAACATGTCAATATGAGGTAAAAAATCATGTCTGAATTCTCACATTTCAAAAACATACACTTAACATCAAATAAAAATTTATTTTTACAGGAATTTAGGGGAACTACCATGTAGCTATAAAGGTAATATACTAAGTAAGTATCAGAGAAAAAAAGTGTCATCCCTTCACCCCACATGTAATAATACATACAAAGATTTAAAGATAAAATACTTAGGATAAACATAATCCTCTCTTAAAAGAAAAACAAAATTATATTTATGTGTATATAACAGCTATAACACTCATCACACAACTCTATAGGAACAATGTCTTTTCAAAATACCAGGATTTCCAAACTATTTAAAATAAATACAGTAAGAATTCTAGGGGCTGGGTGCAGTGGCTCAAGCCTATAATCCCAGCACTTTGGGAGGCCGAGGTGGGTGGATCACGAGGTCAGGAGATCGAGACCATCCTGGTCAACATGGTGAAACCCCATCTCTACTAAAAATACAAAAAATTAGCTGGGCATGGTGGCGTGTGCCTGTAATCCCGGCTACTCGGGAGGCTGAGGCAGGAGAATTGCCTGAACCCAGGAGGTGGAGGTTGCAGTGAGCCGAGATCGCACCATTGCACTCCAGCTTGGGTAAAAAAAAAAAAAAAAAAAGAATTCTATGCCCACCTTTTTCAAAATAAACCAATAAAATGTATAGTATATATTAGACCTATTAACATATACCTAAGATATGTTAAAAATCACAACTGGATTCTCACAATTCAGTAACAAACATGAAACAGCAAATAAAAATTCCTAGTACAAGAATTTACGAGAACTACCACATAGATATGATATAATAGATTACATAAGCATCATAGATAAAAAGAGTGTTCACTTCAGGAGCACATATAATAACAGATAATAAAAGATTTAGGATAAACAAAATACCTTCTTAAAAATGGAAAGAAAATTATATTTATGTATATGTAACAGCTATAACTGTCATCAAAAATCTCTACAGGAGCAGCATGTCTTCAAAAGTATAAAAATTTCCAAACTATCTGAAATAAATGTACTAATAATTCAATGGCCGACGTTTTCCAAACAAACCAACAAAATGCATAGTATGCATGAAGCTATGTGGCACTCATATTTTACAAATAATTCTGTGCCAATCTGAGCACCTGCACTGTGCCTTCAAATGCTCCCGGACTGTGGCAACCAAGTCCATAGGAAGCAGGACCTCCAGGTTCCACCCCAGGGAGGTTGAATTCAGCAATCTAAAAAGGGAGGTGGTGCTGCAGGAAGGGGTGGAACAAGAAACACCGCTGGTTTCTCACTGTCCTCCAAGGATGCCCAGAAGTACCCCCTACCCACCACTCCTAGGAGGGCAGCATAATCACTCTATTCGGCTCCTTCTAGAACAGTCCAGGTTCTTCTAGGTTCTTCCAGATGATCTGCACAAATGGTTCCTCTCTTCCTTCCTGGTGTCTGCCATTAACATTGGAATAAACTTCCTGCTGAAAATCCACATCTTCCCTGGGTCCAGTGTTCTGGAAGTGAAAGAGAGGAGGTCACATTTCAAGGAGGCAGTTCTCTAGACAGGAAAGTTACTCACATCCCACTTCAATTGCAATTGACCAATCCAATTTTATCTCCTGACCTTCATTCTCTACCCTGCTTCTGAACCATCATGTTCAATTGTGATATTCACACTTTGGCGAACCTGACTCCAAATCTCACTTAATACACCCAAGGCCAGCCCCAGCGATCTGCTTCATAGTCAGGACTTTGGGTGGGTCTGCTCAGGGAGTAGAGCACCCTCAGAGAATGTGGCTTTGGACTTCATCACACCTGGGGCCTTTGGTGTAACTTAAGATCTAAACTTGTAACCATGCTAGCTGTGTTTCTAATGTGACATCATCACTAACCACCAATCCAGAAGCCTGATCCGTAATCTCACTTCCTAATGGTTAAGTCTCATGCTGGGTCCTCAACGTGGTTAGCTGCACAAGACATAAACCGAATCTTCACTGAATCCTAGACCCACATCAGTAACTCAAGTGCGTCAATCGTAATCAACCTCCTGGAACTCAGTATTTATGATGATTTTTGATATGGGGTCTGGAGTGCAGTGGCAGGATCAGGGCTCCCTGCAGCCCCAACCTCCCAAGCTCCAGAGATCCTCCCTCTTCAGCCTCCTGAGTAGCTGGGAATAGAGATGCCTCCCACATCACCCAGTTAATTTGTGTATTTTTGTGGAAAAGGGATCTCGCCATGTTGCCCAGGTTTGAAGCTGGTTCAAGCAATTGGGTTCCTCAGATTTCCTAAATAGACCATAATATTCTGCCTTGACTCTAGGGGACACAAATGTACCTTCCCTCAGGCTGATGACCTCAGGCCTCCATGGTCCCTGGAGCTCTAGGAAAGGAGGGCGTGGTCTCATACCCACACCCAGTTCTCTGGGTCATAAGCCTGGATCTGGATAAGAAAATGGTCCTTGAGAAGACGGGGACTCCTCAGATGCCCCTCCCTCCCTTCATCCAGCCTCCAATCCACTTGACTCCTCCCCACCTCCTCCACCTCCCCACACCCCACTCACCTTCTCCAACTCCTCTGGGACAAGCTCTCCAGTGCATGGAACAGAAGAACTGGAACCGAAGCTTCTGGAACAAGGGTCACTGGAAGCGGTTCTTCCCATACAGGAAGTGGAAGATGGCTTGTTTGGGGGCCTCATCAACCTCCTCCACGTCATTGGCCAGGTACCTGGGGGCAGAAATCAGGTTGCTGCTGAGGGACACTGCCAGGAGAGACCTCCGGCTGAGGTCAACTTCCAGAGAGAAGGGCAGGTGACTGTCCTCAGCTCAGGACTACTACCCACCCTGCAGAGAGCCATGCTTTCCTCAGGAGGAACCTGCTGGGCAGGGACCTGCTGAAAGATTTCTCTCACACCTTCAGGATAGAGAGAAACAAAAACCCAACTGGTGGCCAAGAATGGTGGCTTACGCCAGCAATCCCCCCACTTTGGGAGGCCAAGGCAGAAAGATTGCTTGAGGCCAGGAGTTTGAGACAAGTCTGGACAACATAGCAAGACCCTTGTCTCTCTCGGCCATGCATGGTGGTTCACGCCTGGAATCCCAGCACTTTGGGAGGCTGAAGCAGGTGGACTGCTTGAGGCCAGGTGTTTGAAACCAGCCTGATCAATGTGGAGAACCCCATCTCTACTAAAAATACAAATATCAGCCTGGCATGGTGACACACACCTTATTCCTAGCTACTCACAGAGCTGAGGTGCAAGAATTGCATGAACCCAGGAAATGAATGTTGCAGTAAGCCAAAATCAGGCCACTGCATTCCAGCCTGGGAAACAGGACTCTGTCTCAAGAATTAAGTAGGCTGAGGCTAGGCATGGTGGCTCATGCCTGTAATCCCAGCACTTTGGGAGGCTGAGGTGAGTGAATCACAAGGTCAGGAGTTCAAGACCAGCCTGACCAAGATGGTGAAACCCTGTCTCTACTAAAAATACAAAAATCAGCTGGGTGTGGTGGCAGGTTCCTATAATTCCAGCTGCTCGGGAGGCTGAGGCAGAGAACTGGAAGTGGAAGTTGCAGAGTCAAAATCATGACACTGCACTCAAGCCTAGGCAACAGAGTGAGATTCTATCTCAAAAAATAATAATAATTAGTAGGCTGGGCACTGTGGCTCACACCTATAATCCCAGCACTTTGGGAGGCTGAGGTGGGTGTATCATGAAGTCAGGAGATTGAGACCATTCTGGTTAACATGGTGAAACCCCATCTCTACTAAAAATACAAAAAAAAATTAACTGAGCATGCTGACACACACTTGTAGTCCCAGCTACTTGGAAGGCTGAGGTAGGAGAATTCATTGAACCCAGGAGGTGGAGGTTGTGGTGAACTGAGATCACACCATTGCACTCCAGCCTGGGCAACAGAACAAGACTTTATCTCAAAAAAATAAAATAAAATAAAATAAAATAATAAATAAATAAATAACTGTCCTGGTGTAGGGGCACAGCCCTTTAGTCTGAGCTAATCAGGAGGCTGAGTTGGGAGGATTGCTGGTGGAGGCTGCTGTGAGCTATGACCTCACCACTGCACTCCAGCTTGGGGGACAGAGCTAGTCTCTGTCTCAAAAAAAATAGGATACACTGATATTTTATAAAACTCTGCCTTCTACAGGCATCTAGTGTAATGGGACTGGAAGAAATCAGGGAAGATCACCTAACCCCAATGTCACATTGTAACAGGATGTAACTGGAGTGCTGTGGGTGTGCAGCGGTGGGAAGATAAGGGCAGGCATCGTAGAGGCGTGGGGTGAACTGACTTTAAGAAATGTGTCATTCTCCTCAAAACACGTGTACAGGACCCCAGACAGAAAACACAAAGTCGAGTGGCGGGCATTTGGAAGGAGCAGTGAAACCAAGCCAGGAAACACCAAGAGGATGAGCCAGTTTGGCTTTAGAGACATTGCAGAGAGGGTGGAATTGACCCTGGCCTCGATTCCTAAGGACATCAGCTAAGGAAGCTGTTCAGGTGGGCAGTAGGGGGTCAGACCTGGGCTTTGGTTGGAGAGATGTTCAGGGTGCACTAGGAAGCCCCCTGGCTTGGGGAGAGGCTCCAGGAGACCACAGCAGGGAGGATTTAACAGTGGATTCGAGTGATGACAGGGGCCTGAACTGTGGCCTCTGTCATGGGAACCCGGAGGACAATGTACCCTTGCATTTGGGGTTGATGTGGGAAGGAGAGAGACAGAGGAACCAGAAATGGCTGCTTGCTGGGGGAAGTGTCATGTCCACTACATTTCCTCTCCCCTTGGGGGCTGGTTACAATTCTTTTTGATTTATTCTTTTATTTGTAAACTGATGTTTGAGCTTGGGTTTTTTTTTTGGCTTTGTTTGTTTTTGAGAAAAAGTCTCAGTCTGTTGCCCACGCTGGAGTGCAGTGGCTCAATCTTAGCTTACTACAACCTTTCCCTCCTGGGTTAAAGTAGTTCTCTTGCCTTGGTGTCCTGAGCAGCTGGGATTACAGGTGCACTTAGTAGAGACAGGGTTTCAACATGTTGGCCAGGCTCGTCTCGATCTCCTGACCTCAGGTGATGTGTCCACCTCAGCCTCCCAAAGTGCTGGGATTATAGGCGTGAGTCTGCACCTGGCTTGAGTTTGTTTTTAGATAAAGCAGTCTAAAAACATCATGGCATAATGCTATCTTTTCAATACACAGAGTAAAGAGGACAAGTAGGTGAAAGAATAAATGAAAGATTGGAATCCCACTTCCCCCCACTGTCCCAAGGTGTTGGACATTGATGAATAGGAGGAAGCAAGCCACTCACAGGGCCAGGAAGAAATGAATGCATCAGTATTGCCAGGAGAAGAAGCCGGCATGGCTAAAATATGCTATGACCATAGCTAGCAGGTACTGATGGAGAGAAAGGAACACACAGAGAGAAAAGCCACATCTTGGAAGAGAAAGATCCTGGAGATGGGGCAATAGGGGGCTGGGGAGGGGCTGCCCGGGTGACTGTGCTTATTTGGAATCTGTGGGGTGGAGGTGTATTTGATGGTGGGATGCAAGTCTGAGGAGCCAGAGGAAGGGATGTGGGTGATGCGCCCAGCATGGTGAGCTCCAGTGGGATCTTTGCAGGGAGTGTGTCTACATTGGCTGGCATCAGGAGGGTCTTTTCTGTGCCAGGCAGTGAACTTTCTGAAAGCGCTAGGAGTAGAGAGGCCAGGAGCTTCAGGGCTGTGGCTGGACTGTGGCCCAGGGTTCAGATATCAAAGGATCAGTAGGACAGAGAGGGGCCACTCAGTCACTCTGAAACAGACCAGCAGAGTCCCAAGGAAAATGCTGACAAATCATAAAAAGACCAAGAAGAGCCAGGAGTATTCTGTGACCCCAGTTCTTTGACAGGCAGAGACAGGAGCTCCAGCCAGCTTGCCTATGACTCCGGCCGCCCTCCTACCTCTCCAGCCGCCCTCCTACCACTCCAGCCTGCTCGCCTCCTACAGCTCCAGCCCGCCCGCCTATGACTCCAGCTGCCCTCCTACCGCTCCAGCCCGCTCACCTATGACTCCGGCCGCCCTCCTACCTCTCCAGCAGCCCTCCTACTGCTCCAGCCAGCTTGCCTATGACTCTGGCCGCCCTCCTACCTCTCCAGCCGCTCCCCTACCACTCCGACCGCCCTCCTACCACTCAGGCTGCCATCCTACTGCTCCAGCCCGCTCCCCTACCTATCTGACCGCCCTCCTACCCCTCCAGCCCGCTCCCCTACCGCTCCGGCCGCCCTCCTACCGCTCCAGCCCGCTCCCCTACCACTCCAGCCCGCTCCCCTACCGCTCCAGCCGCCCTCCTGCCGCTCTAGCCCGCTCGCCTATGACTCCGGCCGCCCTCCTACCTCTCCAGCCGCCCTCCTACCGCTCCAGCCAGCTTGCCTATGACTCCAGTCGCCCTCCTACCGCTCCAGCCCGCTCGCCTATGACTCCAGCCGCCCTCCTACCACACTCCAGCCCGCTCGCCTATGACTCCAGCCGCCCTCCTACCGCTCCAGCCCGCTCGCCTATGACTCTGGCCGCCCTCCTACCTCTCCAGCCGCCCTCCTACCGCTCCAGCCTGCTCGCCTATGACTCCAGCCGCCCTCCTACCTCTCCAGCTGTCCTCCTACCGCTCCAGCCAGCTTGCCTATGACTCCAGTCGCCCTCCTACCGCTCCAGCCCGCTCGCCTATGACTCCAGCCGCCCTCCTACCACTCCAGCCCGCTCGCCTATGACTCCAGCTGCCCTCCTACCGCTCCAGCCCGCTCACCTATGACTCCGGCCGCCCTGCTACCTCTCCAGCCGCCCTCCTACCGCTCCAGCCAGCTTGCCTATGACTCCGACCGCCCTCCTACCTCTCCAGCTGCCCTCCTACCGCTCCAATCCGCTCGCCTATGACTCCAGTCGCCCTCCTGCCGCTCCAGCCCTCTCCCCGATGACTCTGGCCGCCCTCCTACCTCTAGCCCGCTTTAGAACTTACTTTAGAACTCCGGCTGCCCTCCTACCGCTCCAGGCAGCTCCCCTACGACTCCTGCCACCCTCCTCCTGCTCTAGCCGGTTCCCCTACCACTCCGGCCTCCTTCCTACCGCTCCAGTCCGCTCCCCTATGACTCTGGCCTCCCTCCTGCCACTCCAGCCTGCTCCCCTATGACGCCGGCCACCCTCCTACCACTCCGGCCACCCTCCTACCCCTCCAGCTCGCTCCCCTACCGCTCCGGCTGCACTCCTACCACGCCAACCTGCTCCCCTACTGCTCCAGCCGCCCCCTACCGCTCCAACCGCCCTCCTACCGCTCCAACCCGCTCCCCTACCGCTCCGGCCACCCTCCTACCGCTCCAGCTCTCTCCCCTTCGACTCCAGCCACCCTCCTATCACTCCGGCCGGCTGCCTTCCTACCGCTCCAGCCCGCTCCCCTACCACTCCGGCTGCACTCCTACCGCTCCAGCCCGCTCTGCTACAACTCCAACTGCCCTCCTAACACGCTCCGGCCGCCCTCCTACTGCTCCAGCCCGCTCCCCTAACACTCCGGCCGCTCTCCTACCGCTCCAGCCTGCTCCCCTACCGCTCCGGCCGCCCTCCTACCACTCCAGCCTGCTCCCCTACGCCCTCCTACCGCTCCAGCCGCTGCAGTTTCCGTCACCACCACCCACTGCAGCGAGGCCAGCCGCGGTACAGCAGGCTGCAGCCTCCAGCGTGCAGTAGGTGGCTCTGCCGCCCCTTCTCCTGGTCCTCTAAGCCGTGAACACAGTGGCTCCGCTAGAAGATACACAAGAGCCTGGAACAGCGTGAGGCAGCCTCAGCATGCCTTATATACTGAGGTTTTGCCCATGGTTCCTGGACTACATGTTCTGATTGGATGAGAGGAAACCTTTAGGCCTACTCTGATTGGGTTTTATTTTCATGCTCTGATTGGCTGGCCTCAGACTTGTTTTCATCCAATGAGACTGTGTAGTTCAGGAACCTTATATAAATGGCTCTGTTGGGCAGGCACTCCATTCTAGGCTTTTCTGTGTCTGTCGGCTGTGCTCCTCGGTGCTGGGCTTAGAGGAGTAGAAGACGGGAAAGCCAGCTGCCGCCTGCTGGAAGCTGGAGTCTGCAGTACTGCGGTTCGGAGGTTCACTGTGGTTGGCGGTAGCCACTGACGCATGCCCCTGGAGCGGTAGGAGGGGAAACGAGTTTGGGGTGAGGTGGGAGGGCTAAGGAGGGTGGTTATTGCCAAAGGGACAAAGAGGATGGCGAACAGGATAAGATGTTGAAAAAAGACGGTGAGGAAAAGATGGTGGGAAAACTATTTTGGGGTAGATGGAAGGGGAAAATGGAGTGGCAAGTGAGAGGAGGAATGAGAGGATGGTGAGGGGGGAAGCAGGGGGCGAGGAAGAGGGAGAGAAGCTTTTGTGAAAAGATGGTGGGGAAACGTTTTTGGGTAGATGGAAGGGGAAAAGAGAGTGGAGGGGAGAACCAGGGGGTGAGCAGGAGGGAGAGAAGGTCTGAAAAAATACGGGAGGAAAGAAGACAGTGTGTAAAAAGATTTTGGGCAGATGCAGAAGGGAAGAGGGGGACAAGTGGGAGAAGGAAAGGTGATGCAAAGAGGGAGGGGGAAGAGAAAGTGGGCAAGCAGGAGGGAGAGAAGGTTTTGCGAAAAGAAGGGGATAAAATTTTTTACGTAGATGAAGAGAGAAAAGAGGGTGGCGAGTGGGGAGGAGAAAAGGTTTTGCAAATAGACGATGGGCAGGAAAGAAAGACTGCAGAAAGAAAAGACAGTGGATAAAGTGGATAGATGGAGGGGGAAGAGGGTGGCAAGTGGGAAGAGAAAAGAGGGGGTGGCCAGAGGGAGTGCAGAAAGAGGGATGGGAAAAAGAAGATGGGAAAAATAGCGTAGAGGGCAAAGACGTGGCAAGCAGGATAAGGGGAAGAAGAGGGTGAGTGGGAAGCGGGGAAGGCGCTTTGCAAAAAAGATGGTGAGGAAATGTTTTGGGATAGATGGAGAAGGGAAAGAGGGTGGCAAGAAGGAAAGGGGAAAAAGACGATGGGGCAAACAGTTTTGGGGAGATGAAGGGGGAAAAGAGGGTGCTGAGCAGGAGTGGTGAGAAGGCTTTGGTAAAAGATGGGGAAAATGTTTTTGTGTAGATAGAGGAGCAAACGGAATGAGAGTGAGGCAGGAAAGAGGGTAGGAAAGAGGAAGAAAACACAGTGGGGGAAAACGGTGTATAAAAGTTTTGGGGTAGATGAGTGGGGAAAACTGTAGTGAGCAAGAGAGTAGAGAAGTCTTTGTGAAATGACAGTGGGGGAAAATGTGGAAAAAGCTTTGGGGTAGATGGAGAAAGAAAAAGGCTGGCGAGAGGGAAGGGCCAAAGGCTGTTGGGAAAAGAAGATGGAAAAATAATGCTGGGGGACAGACAGAGGGTTTGGGTAGATCTTTTTCTGATTTTTAAATAAGGTTAATTTGTATTTTTTGCTTTGGAGAAGTTTGAATTCTTTATATGTTTTCTGTATTAGCTGCTTGCCTGATGGCATAGTTTGCAAATTCTTCCATATTCTGAATTTTCTTCATTCTGATTGCTTCCTCTACTTTGCAGAAGCTTCTGTGTTTAATGCAATTGCATTTGACGCTTTTTGCTTTTGTTGCTGTGGCTTTTGATGTGTATTTGAAAATCCCTTGTCCTAACCAATTTCATGAAGGATTTATACTGTTTTCTTCTCTAGTAGTTTCATAGTCGCAGGTCCTACATTTAAATCTTTATTTTGAGTAGATTTTTGTATTTGGTAAGATAACGGTCTAGATTTATTCTTGACCGTTTATTATGTATGTGTTGTGTTGTCCTAGCACAGTTTATTGAAGAGACTGTCCGTTCCAAAGGTGTGTTTTTGGTGCCTTTGCTAAAAATGAGTTGACTTTAAATGCATGAATTTATTTCCTGTCTCTCCCTTGCCACTTTTATGGCCAGTACCATGCTGTTTTTGTTACTAAAGATTTATAATACATTTTAAAATCAGGTATTGTGATGTTTCCAGTTTTTTTCTTTTTGTTCATGATTCTTTTATCTATCTGAGATATTTTGCATTTCTATGTGAATTTTAGGATTTTTTTTCTGTTTCCATGAAGAATGTCTTTTGTAATTTCACATGAATTGCATTGATTCTGCAGATCACATTGGGTGATAGATATTTTAATGTTCTAGTGCTTGGACATGGGCGATCTTTTCATCGTGTCTGTTTTGATATCTTGTCTCTTTTATCATTTTCATTGTGGGATCTTCCAAATTTTTTGTTGTGTTTAGGTATCTTTTTTGGGTGGTAGAAGTAATGAAACAGCTTTCTTGAATTACGAAGGAACGTTGAATTTTATTTTTTTCAGCATTACTGAAATGATGATAAATTTTTTCTTGATTTGCTGAATGTGATGTGGCACTTTGGGTTTATTGAATTGCCCTCATATTTCTCAGATGAATCCCTCTAAATCGTGGCAGATGATCTGCTTATTGTCTTGTCCAATGCAGTTTTCAAATAGTTGGTTGAGGATTTTTTGCATCTGTGTTTATCAGGGATATTTGCCTGTGGTTTGCTTTTTTGTGTTGTGTTTTGGTCTGGTTTTTGTACCAGGGCTGGCCTCATAGGACAAGTTTGGAAGTGTTCCTTCCTCTTTATTTTTGGGGGAATATTTTGAGTATATTTGGTATTAGCTCTTTTAAAAATGTTTCATTGAATTCAGTAGTAAAACCATGATTCTTGTGCTTTTTTTTGATGGGAGACTTTTTATTACTACTTTAATTGCATTACCCATAATTAGTCTGTTCTGTTTCTTATTTTTCTATCATTCTCTCCACACCAGCCAAGGGAAGCAGCGGAGGCCCCAGCAAGTGGCCACACTAGCTGCTGCCCTTCTCTCTGGCCACTGACACATCTGGTTTATTCTCACTATCCCCAGGTGTCATGTGGGGGGCAGAGTGTAGCCTTCCCTGACCTAGGAATGCACCAACACAGGGCTCCAGGGTGAACCCAGAGTTGGGGCTGCAGCTAGAACTTCAGGGAAGGAGAGGACCCTGACCTCTTACTTCCTGGTTCCGGTGGTGAGGTTCCAGGAGTGTGGCCAGAGTGGGCCCACTCAATGTTGTGTAATAACAGGACAGAGAAGACAGCAGCCTTTAACACTTCACATGAAAATGTGGCATAAGAACCACTGATCAATCCAGTCTTGGTCAGAAAGGCATTGCCATTGTTGAGAGAGCCACTGTCTGAGTGCCTGTAGCTATGTATGTATGAAATATATACATATATATAATGCTGTTTGGCTTACGGTGTCTAAAATATTTACCATCTAATGTGTCATAAGAAATGTTTGCCTCTCCCAGTGCTACCTGCTTATGGTTGTGCATGACCCTGTAAAGATTTAACCACTTTTAATAACAGACAATATTAGCTACCGTTTACTGAGGCTCAGAAATGTTTAGTAACTTGCCTAAGGTCACACAGCTAGTAAGTGGCATAGTGGGATCTTGCAGTGACAGTTTGGAGGGAGAGGAGAATAAGTGATAGACTTGATTACTGCCATGCAGATGCAGGTGGCCCCCTGGACTTCAGCTTCTCCAGGTCTGTGCATAACTCCAAAACTGCCAGGCAGCTCTGTGACCCCAATATCTCCTCTTGAGGTTGCTCTGGGATGGCTGCCAAAGCTTCTTTTTAATAAAAATCCTCATGAGAACACTGTGACCAGAGCTTCTATGTTTCTGGCATTTTCCTTCCCCTGGGGCCGCCCAACCTCAGCCATTCTTTTGTAACTTGGCTAACTCCTTTCTGGTTTCCTCCTAGACTTTACCTTGTGGGTTCACAAGGGAGACTACTGTTGCTAAACCCTGCTGAGCGTCATTTCTGGTGGGCAGAGTTGACAAGCCACCTGCTTCTTCACTACCCTGACTCATCTCTGCAGAGCAGACACACCTCACTTTTTGGGCATCACTGAAGAATGTTCTGGTAAGTACGTTTCTCAGGAATCAAAGCTTAGTGCTCAGAACACTCAACTTTAGAAATTTGGAATTATTTTGCACATTAAATCTTTTTTTTTTGTAAAAGATGGAGTCTTACTCTTACTGCCAAGGCTGGAGTGCAGTGGCACAATCTCAGCTCACTGCAACCTCTACCTCCCGGCTTCAGGCAATTTTCTTGTGCTAGCCTCCTGAGTAGCTGGGATTACAGGTGCCTGCCACCACACCCAGCTAAGTTTTACATTTTCCGTAAAGACAGAGTTTCACCATGTTGGTCAGGCTGGTCTTGAACTCCTGAGCTCAGGTGATCCACCTGCCTCAGCTTCCCAAATTGCTGGGTCTGTGCTATGGCCAGGTCCAAGACAGGACCCAACCAAGTCTAGGGTGACAGCCAGGGCAGGGTCAAACCTAGGGTGTGGCCAAGGCAGGCAGAGCAGGGCCAGGGTGATGCCAAGGCAAGGGAAAGGACAGAGAATGGCCAGGGCAGTGCCAGAACAAGGGTAAGGACAGTGCAGCTTCATGGCATGGCAAGAGTCCAGGGAAATGGTCAGGGTCATAGCAGCACTGGCAACAGGGCTCGGTCTAGGACAGTGACAGCCAGGGTCAGGGCCAGAGTAGTGCAAGACCAGGGTAATTCCAGGCATTTCAGGGTCAGGACAGGATCAGGACCAGTACAGAACCAAGTAATGCCTTAAGCAGGGAAAGGCCAGGGATGGGTCTAGGTTACGGTCAGGTCAGGGCCATAACAGAGGGGCAAGGCTAGGGAAGGACCTGAGCAGGATAAGGGCCAGGGCCAGGGCTGTGACAGAGCAGGGTCATGGTGCAGCAGGGACAGAGCTGGTTCATAGACAGGACAGGACCAATGTCAAGGTAGAGCCAGGCTAGTGCCAGCTAGTACCAGGGCTGAGAAGGGTCAAGGCAGGCATATTGAGGGCAGGACCAGGACCAGGGAAGAGCCAGGAAAGTGTAGGGCAGGGCATTGGCATAACTTGGCTGTTGCAGGGCCATTTCAGTGCCAAGACAGGGCAGAACAGGGCAGGATGATGGTAGAGCCGGGACAGGGACAATCCAAGGCTGAACCAGGTCACTTCAGTGCCTGGATACCTCCAAGTCCAGTTCATGACAGGGCAGGTCCAGGGTAATACCAGGCCAAAGTATAGGACTAGGGTCAGGTCCAGAGCAGGGCCTAGTTAAGGCTAGGTTAAGGGACAATGGCAGGGTCTGGGGGCTGAGGACAGAGACAGGACATGTCAGGGAAGGGCGGTTTAAGACAAGGGCTATACTAGTACAAACCAGGCCTAGGGCCTTGGCAGAGTCATGACAGGTCCTTGGAAGGACCAGAGACCAGGGAAGGGTCAAGGTCAGGATAAGGGCAGTGATAGGGTCAGGGATATGGCAATGACGGGGCAGAACCAGGTCCAGAGGAAGTCCATAGAGAGGGTAGAGAAAAGCCAAGGCAGGGTTAGGGCAGGTATAGGGAGGGACCAGGGCCAGGACATAACCAGGGAAGGGTAGGCCAGGAAAATTACATGACTAGGCTAATGCAGGGCCAGGTCAGTCCTGGGAGAGAGCAGAGCAGGCAAGGCCATGGTGGGGACAGGGCAGGGATGGGCCATGGCAATGACAGGACCCATCAGGCACATGACATGTCCAAGTCTAGGTCATGGTCAGAACAGGACCAGGACTATGACCTCTGACAGCTTGGGGTCATGTCAGGACCAAGGTTGGGACAAAAATCAGGGTCAGATGAAGGCACGGCCAGCCCAGGTCCAGGGAAGAGGCAGTGCATGCTGGGGCTGGGCCAGTGTAGCACAGGGCCAAAGAAAGGCCAGGGTAGGACAGGGACAAGTCAGGGTCAGGGCTATGGCAGGACTGGTGGCAGGGTCAGAGCCATGGTAGGACCAGAGACAGGGCCAGAGCAGGTCCTGGACATGGATGGGGTTGGGCAGGGCAGGGCCAGAGTAGTGCAGTGCCCAGTCAGAGTTGGGTCAGGGCAGGATAGGGCCTGGGCAGAGCAGTAGTAAGGTAGCACAGGGTATTGCCAAAAGCAGGGCATGGTCATAGCAGGGGCAGGCCTAGGAACAGGGCCAGGGTATGGTGGGGCAAATACAGGCCCAGGTTAGAGGATGACAGAGTAGAGCCAAGGCAAGGCCAGGGAGAAGGCACACTCAGGGCCAGGGTCAGGCCAATGCAGAGAGGGCCGATGAAGGGTCAGTGTAGGGTGAGGGCAAGACCAGGACATGGTGGGGCAAGGAAGAGCAAGGGAAGGGCCAGGGTCCAGACCAGGGCAGGCTCAGGATCTGGATAAGGACAGAGTAGCACCATTGCAGGGAAGGGCAAGACAGGGCTAGAGCCTGACCATAGAGAGGGCAGGGCAAAAGCCAAGTCAGGGTCAGTGCAAATCCAGGAAGGGGCGCTAGGGCAGGCCAGAAACAGGGCACAACCAGTGTAGGGTAAGACTGGGTAATGCCATGACTGGGCCATGGCAGTGCCAGGAAAGGGCAGTATATGCAGGGACCTGATAGACTAGGTCAGAGACAGGTCCAGGAATGGCTGGGACAAATCAGGCTCAGGACATGTCCACGTCCAGGTCAGGGCCAGAACAGGACCAGGACAGTGACCACTGGCAGGCTGGGTGCCATGACAGGACCAGAGTCAGCAGGAGCAGCAGGGCCAGAATCAAACCATGGCAAGCACAAGTCCAGGGAAGGTACAGGGTAGCACATGGCCAAGACAAGGATAGGGTAGGGCCAGGGAAGTGGGTACAGCAATGCCTAGTCAGGACTGGACGAGGGTAAACTGGGGCTGGGTCATGGCTAGGGAATAAACAAGGGCAGGGTCATAGCTAGGGACACGATGGGGCCAGGAGAGGTCAAGACATGGGGAAAAACCAGAGCAATGCCGGGGACATGGCAGGGTCAGACCTTGAGAAAAGGTAAGGTTAGACAAGCTCAGGGCCTAGGCAAGCCAGGGCTAAGGTAGCACAGAAGCAAAGCAAGGCAGACAGTGTAGGGTGAGGACAGTGTCAGGGTATGGCAGGGCAGCGACAGAGATACCCAGGGCTGCTACATGGACAGCAGGGCCCACAGCAAGGCAGTGTCAGGGAGGGGCTAAGACAAGGGCAGGGCCAGGTCAGAATTACAGCCAGGGTAGTGTAAGACCAGGGCTGGATATGGCCAGTGTACGGAGGCCCATGTCAGGCTAGGATAGGCTAAGGGCAATGTCAGGGTTGAGGCAAGACTAGGATAGCACAGGACCAAGGTAAGGTCAGAGAAGGGCAGGGCCCAGGCAGAACCAGGAAATGGCAGGGCCAGCATAGCAGAGAGATAAGGAAAGGCTAGGGCAGGTAGTGGCCAGGGCAGGGCCAGAAGCAAAGTAAGAATGACAGGCATGAATGAATGAAAGGGCAGGACCAGGCCAAGTTAGAGTCAGGGCTATGGCAGGGCGAGGACCATGGGCAAGTCAGGGCCCAAACAGTATTAGGGTTAGAGCAGCACACTGGCATGGGAATTGTAGGGCAGGGCACTAGGGAGTACAGTGCCCAGTTGGCTGTGCTAGGGCAGGACCTGGGTGGGTCATGGTCAGGGAAAAACCAGGGACAGGGTCACAGCCAGGGACATGATAGGACCAAGATTAGGGCCAAAAGCAGTGCAGAATCAAGGCCAAGGCAGGAACGTGGCAGTACCAGGGCTTGGCACAGGATAAGGTCAGGATGAACTGGGGGCCAGGTCAGGGCAGAACTAGGGTAGTGCAGAGCCAAGAGAAGGCAAAATCAGTATAAAGCAAAGACAGTGCCCAGGGATGGCAGGGCAGGGACAGGGAATACCAGGGTTGGGAAATGGACAGGAGAGGACCCACAACAAGTCAGGGCCAGAAAGGGGCCATGACAAGGGAAAGGGCAGAGAATGGCCAAGAAAAGAAAAAGGCAGGGCCATGGAAAGGTGAAGGCAACGGGTGGGGAGGGCCAGGGAAAAGGCCATGGCTGAGGCAGGACTAGGACAAGGCAAAGGCAGGTCCTGGGAAGGGTAGAGCCCGGACATTGCCAGGTTCGAACCACGGTATGGCAGGGCCAGATCAGGGTCAGGTCTATGGCATAAACAGAGCAGGGTCAGCTCCGTACTGTAGCCAGGGAAGGTCCAGGGACAATGCAGGGATAAAGAGGGTTCGGGGTGATTTGTATTTTGCTATAGCCCCCTAATTTTAGTAATACTGCCACAAGTACTATTGAGCCAGCAATAGGGGCTTCTACATGGCCTTTGGGAAGTCATGGGTGAAGTCTGTATAGACATATTTTGACTATGGAAGCCATCATATATGACAACAATGTGGTGTTATTAGTTCAAGAAATGTAATAAGTAAGGGGAGGGATCCCCTAGTATATGAAATAAGAAATATGAGCTTCCATTAAGACATTCTGGCTGATACCCTCAGCAGGTAGTGATGATTAGAATGGGGATTAATGTAGCTTCAAATAGAATATAAAATATAATTAGGTCTGTGGCTGTGAATGCTATAATTAGAAAAATTTGTAGAAGAATTAGTGTGGAAATATAGAGCTATTTGTGGGAAAGAATCAGTGGCTACGTGATGTTGAGTAGCTAGAATTATAAGGGGTAGTAATCAGCTGTTAAAATTAGAAGAGGGGATGTTAATGGGTCTGAAAGGAAAGTCAGTGAGAGGCTGCGTGGGTTGTTGGGTTGGCAAAAGCGTAATAGTGCAAAGAGGCTAATAAATAAGCTATGGGTGGCTGTGTTGATTCAGATTGTTATTTTTTAAAAGTTATGTTGCTGGTAGTAGTTTTTAGGGTGTACAGAATATAACTTTTTTTATTGTTCCATTATACAATTTTACCTTTCTTTGGAATCTCCAATTCTCATAGTGGCAGAAAATTAGTCATGGTCATTTCTTGGTAAATTCAGGCATTTTACATTTAAGCTTAGTTAATTAAGAATTGTTCTTTTTCCTTAGCCTGGCTCCTAGGCTTGGGGATATACTTTATATCTCAGTCTCAGGGAGAGGTGTCTGCTCCCCAGACCTCCAGGTGGAAGTGTGTCACTGCCGCTTCTGCACCTGCATCCCCAAACTTTATCTGGAGAATTCAATAATAGTCTCTCATACTTCTTTACATCCAACCCCTAAGTAGGATACAGGGATATCCCTTCTTGGAGACCATGACTGCTTTTATCATTACTTCCGCCCCATTTCACCTCTTCCCTCAACTCAGCTTTATCTAGTCTGGGGTTGGAAAGAGTGTGAAAAAAACTGATTGAGCCAATATACTATTTGTTCAATTTATCTTATGTCTGAGTTGAGAACTCTTGTCTTAAAACTCAAGAATTTGGCATATTTCTTCACTGATTCCACTGTGACAGCTTCCCTAAACAATGGATATCTTGCATCTATTCCCCCAAATGGTAATTGGAGGAGGAATCCAGAGAAAAGGGAGTGTGGGATGGGGAAACCATAATTGGTGAACCCTCACATATTATCCCAGCTATATAAGAGATAGAGGATGTGAGAAAGATAAACCAAATATTAGCAGAGTTCATACCCAGGGCATAAGACGAAGAGAAGAAGGAAAAAGATTTTGGTTTTACATCTTTCCACATTGCCTAATTTGTTTTTACAATAAACATGTATTTTTTGGAAATGAATTTAATTAGTCTAAAGATTAGTGAAATGGTGAAATGGCTCACATCTGTAATCTCAGCTCTTTGGAAGGCTAAGGGTGAAGGATTGCTTGAGCCCAGGAGGTTGAGACCAGCCTGCGTAACATACAATACATTTAACAATTAGCCAGGCATGGTGGTGTGCACCTGTAGTTTAAGTTCTGCACACAGCTTAGGCCGTATGTGTTGGAAATTGTGACTAGTAGGGCTATGCCTACTGCAGCTTCACATACAGCAAATACTAGAAGGACAGTAGGTATTAGGAACTCAAACTCAGTAGTTTGAGTTCTTTGTTTTGTGTATTAACCCCTTTCCTGAGGCATAGTTTGCAGATACTTCCATATTCTGGATTGTTTCCTCATTCTTCTGATTGCTTCCTCTACTTCACAGAAGTTTCTAATTTGAATGTAATTGCATTTGGTTCTTTTTGCTTTTGTTGCTTGTGCTTTTGATGTCTATTTGAAAATCCCTTGTCCTAACGAATTTCATGAAGCATTTAAGCTGTTTTCTTCTCTAGTAGTTTCATAGTTTCAGGTCCTACATTTAAATCTTTATTTTGAGTAGGTTTTTGTATTTGGTAAGATAACGTTCTAGATTTATTCTTGTAGGTGTTGTGTTTTCCTAGTAGTTTATTGAAGAGATTGTCTTTTCCAAAGGTGTGTTCTTCGTGCCTTTGTTAAAAATGAGTTTCCTGTAAAGGCATTAATTTATTTCTGAGTTCTCTATTCTGTTTCATTTGTGTATGTCTGTCTGTCATTCTTCTATGTCTGTCTGTCTCTCTCTGTCTCTCACTTGCACCTTTTTTGGCCAGTATTATGCTGTATTTGTTACTATAGATTTGTAATATATTTTGAAATCACGTATTTTGATGCTTCTAGCTTTTTTCTTTATATTCATGATTCTTTTGTCTATCTGAAGTATTTTGGATGTCTGTGAATTTTAGGATGCTTTTTTTTCTATTTCTATGAAGAATACCTTTTGTAATTTCATGTGGATTGCATTGATTCTGTAGATCTCACTGGGTAATGTATACATTCTTCATAGTGCTTGGACATGGGATATATTTCCATTTACATGTGCCTGCTTTAATACTTTCATCTGATTTATTATAGCTTTTGTTGTGGGATCTTCCGACTTTCCGGTTATCCCTAGGTATCTTTTGTTGGTGGCAGCAGCAGTGAAATAGCTTTTTGAATTTTTATTATGAAGGACTGTTGAATTTTACGTTTTTCAGCATCTACTGAAATGATTATATGGTTTTTTTGATTTGCTGAATGTGATGTAGCATATTTATGTATCTGTGTTTATTCAATCATTCTCCTGTTTCTCAGATGAATCGCACTTCATCATGGCAGATGATCCTTTTATTGTCTTGTCAAATGCAGTTTTCATGTATTTTGTTGAGGATTTTTTGTATCTGTGTTCATCAGGTTTATTTGCCTTTTTCTTTTTTGTGTCTTGTTTTGGTCTGATTTTTGTACCAGAATAGTGCTGGAGTCATAAAACAAGTTTTTGACATATTTCTTCCTCTTCATTTTTGGGGAAATATTTTGAATAAAATTGGTATTAGCTCTTTTAAAAATGTTTCATTGAATTCACATGATTCTTGTGTTTTTCTTTGACAGGAGACTTTTCATTACTATGTAAATTGCATTACCCATAACTGGTCTATTCAGGTTTCTTATCTTTCTATCATTCTATCCACACTGGCCCAGGGATGCAGGGGAGTCCCCAGTGAGTGGCCACACTAGCTGTTGCCTTTCTCTCTGGCCACTGAAACATTTGGTTCATTTCGGCATCCCTGGGTGTTCTAAGCGGGGGGGCACAGTGTAACCCACACTGGCCTGGGAGTGCACAAACACGACCCCTGGGTGAGCCCAGAGCTGGGGCTGTAGCTAGAACTTCAGGGCAAGAGAGGCCCCTGGCCTCTCACTTCCTGATCCCGGTCCTGAGGTTTCAGGAGTGGGACCAGAGTGGGCTCACTCAGTGTTGTGTAATGACAGGACAGAGAAGGCAGCAGCCTTTGACACTTCACATGAAAATGTCACATGAGAAGGACCACTGATCAATCCAGTCTTGGCCAGAAAGTTGGCGAAAGAGCCCGTGTCTGAGTACTTGTAGCTGTGTATGTATGAACTATATACATGTATATATGTAATGCTTGTTGGCTTACAGTGTCTAAATATTTATCATCTAATGCGTCAGAAGAAATGCTTGCCTTTCCCAGTTCTAACTGATAATGGCCATGTGTGACCCTATAAAAATGTAACCATTTTTGATAACAATAAACAATAATATTAGCTGCCATTTACAGAGGCGCAGAAACATTAAGTAACTTGCCTAAGGTCACACAGCTAGTAAGTGGCAGAGCAGGATCTTACAGTGACAGTTTGGAGGGAAGAGGAGAATAAGTGATGGAGTTGATTCCAGCCATGCAGATGCAGGTGGCACCCTGGACTTCAGCTTCTCCAGGGCTGGGCTTAACTCCAGAACTGCCAGGCAGCTGTGTCACCCCATCTCTCATGAGCTTGCTCTGGGATGGCTGCCAAAGCTACTTTTTAATTACAATCCACTTGAGAACACTGGAAGCTTCTGTCTCCCTGGCATTTTCCTTCCTGTGGGGCCTCCCAACCTCAGGAGTTCCTCTGTAACATGGCTAACTCCCCTCTTGTTTCCTCCTAGACTTTACCTTTTGGGTTCAGAGGGGAGACTGCTGTTGCTAAGCCCTGCTGAGCATCATTTCTGGTGTGGCAGAGTTGACAAGCCACCTGCTTCTTGACTACTCCTGACTCATCTCTGCAGAGCAGACACACCTCACTTCTTGGACATCACTGAAGAATGTTCTGGTAAGTAAATTTTTCAGGATTCAAAGCTTACTGCTCAGAACACTCAGCTTTAGAAACCTGGAACTATTTTGCCCGTTAAAATCTGGGCTCACTGCAACCTCTGCCTCCCGGGTTCAAGCAGTTTTCTTGTGCTAGCCTCCTGAGTAGCTGGGATTACAGGTGCCTGCCATCACGCCCAGCTACATTTTATATTTTCAGTAAAGATAGAGTTTCACAGCATTGATCAGGCTGGTCATGAATTTGTGTTGTGACCTCAAGTGATCCGTCTGCATCAGCATCCCAAAGTGCTGGGTCTGTGCTGTGGTCAGGTCCATGACAGGGCCCAGCCAACTCTTGAGTGATGGCCAGGGTAGGGTCAAACCTAGGGTAGGACCAAGGCAGAGGCAGAACCAGGATGGTACCAAGACCAAGGAAAGGACAGGGAATGGCCAGAGTAGGGACAGGACAGGGGCAAGGATAGGGCTGGTTCATGGCATGGCCAGGGTCTGGGGACAGGGTCAGGACCATAGCATCACCAGCAACTGGGCTGCAGCTAGGGCAGTAACAGTGCCAGAGTCAGGCCCAGAGCAGTGCAAGGCCAGGGTAATGCCAGACATTTCAGGGTCAGACAGGATCAGGACCAGGGAAGAACCAGGGTAAGACCTCAAGCAGGGCAGGACCAGGACCAGGATGTAGGTTATTGCCAGGGTGGGGCCGTAACAGAGGGGCAAGTCTAAGGAAGGGCCTGAGTAGGTTAAGGGTGGGGGAAGGGCCAGGACTGTGACAAGGTAGGGTCATGGCAGGGCATGGCCAGAGCTGGTTCATAGAGAAGGCAGGGACAGTGCTAAGGTAGGGCCAGGGCTGAGGAAAGGACAGTGAAAATCAAGTGTGGGACCAGGGCCACGCACAGGCAAGGCAGGGTAGGTCAGGGCATTGGTACAACTGGGATGTTGCAGTGTCATTTCAGTGCCAAGACAGGGCAGAACAGGGAAAGACGATGGTAGGGCCAAAGTAGGGACAAGCCAAGGCTGGTCCAGGTCAATTCAGGACCAGGATACCTCCAAGTCCAGTACAGGACCATGGCAGATTCAGGGTTATTGCAAGCCAAAGTGTAGGACCAGGTCTGGGCTAGGGCCAGGTCCCGTGTGGGGCCTAGTCAAAGCTAGGTTAAGGGTCAAGGTAGGGCCAGGTCAGGGTCTAAGCCAGAGTAGGTCAAGGGCAGAGCTAGGGCAGGGTGAAGACACAGCCAGGGCACAGCAGGGAAGGGTGGGTCAAGACAAGGGCTATACCAGTACAGAGCAGGACCAGGTCCTTGTCATGGACCAGGAAGGGTCAGGGTCAGGCCTGGATAAGAGCAGGGTTATGGTCAGGGATATGGCAGGGACAGGGAAGGACCATGGTAGGGCAGATCCAGAGCCAGTCCATACAGAGTAGAGAAAAAGTCAAGGTCGGGTGAGGGCAGGTCCAGCAGGGATGAGGTCCAGGGCACAACCATGGTAGGATAGGCCAGGGCAATGACACTACTGGACCATGGCATGGCCAGGTCAGTCTTGGGAGAGAGCAGAACAGGCAAGGATGTGGTGGAGACAGAGCAGGGAAGGACCAAGGCAAGGATGGGACAAATCAGGCCCATGGCATGTCCAAGTACAGGTCACAGCTAGAACAGGACAAGGATCATGAGCACTGGCAAGCCTGGGGTCATGTCAGGACCAAGGTCAGGACAAAAGGCAGGGTCACAGTGAAGGCATGGCCGGCCCAGGCCAGGTCAAGGTAAGGGGTAGGGCCTGCTAGGGCCAGTGTAGTACAGGGACAAGGAAAGGGCAGGGCAGATAGGGGTCAGAGTAGAGGCAGGGACAGGGAAGGCCAAGGGTAAGGAAAAGGCAAAAGAAGTGCCAGAGAAAAAGCAAGCCAGGGAGGGTTGAAGGCAAGAATGGCCAGTTCAGAACCTGAGTCAGAGGAGGCCAAAGGCAGGGCCAGGACTGAGGAAGACCAGAGTAGGGAGGGACACATCAAGCCAGGGTAGGGCTAGGGCAAGGTTAGGGACAAGTTAGGACTAAAATAGCACAGGACTAAGGCAGGGCTAGTGCCAGGACAGAACCACAGAATGACAGGGCCAGGTCAGGGTCAATTCAATGGCATGGGCAGCGTCAGCACATTGCTATGGGCAGGGCAGGTAAATGCAGAGCCAAGGAGGGGCCAGGGTTTAAAGCAGACATAGGGTGGGTCTAGTGTCAAGGCACAGTAATTGCAGGGCGTGTATGGCCAGTTTAGGGACAGGTCAAGGTTGGGTGAGGGACAGGGCCAGATCAGGGCAGGACCAGTTAGGGTACAGGGCAAGAGCTGATCCAGAGCAGAACCAGGACCAGGAGAAACCAAAGGTAGGGCCAAGGTAGGGTAGGGCTAGGGCAGAGTAGGACTAAGGTAGCACAGCCTGGCCAAATGCAGGGTAGGACCATAGTAGGGGAAGGATGAGGATCAGGGCAAGGGCAAACACTGGGCCAGGGTATGGTGTGGCCAGTACAGGGCCAGGATAGAGAATGACAGGAGGATGGCTGGAGGAATGGGTAAGATCAGGACCATGGCCACGTGAGGGCCATGACAGAACCAGAGCTGGGTTAGCACCCTCGTATTGGCAGTGCAGGGCAAGGAAAATGGCATTGCCCAGTCAGGACTGTGTTAGAGCAGGAGCAGAGCTTGGATAGGACCAGAACTGTGGCAGGGCAAGACCCAGGGTAGGAAGAGGGTTGGGTCATGGCCAGGAAAAATTCAGGGGCAGGGCAAGAGCCAGGGACATGAAAGGACAAAGATGAGGGCCAGGGGTGAGTAGAAACAGGGCAGAACCAGAAATAGCCAGGAACATGGCACGGCCAGGGCAGGTTCAGGACCAATACAAGGCAGGGCAGGGATAGGGTAGTACAGAGCAAAGGCAGGATAGGGCCAGTGTAGAGCAAGACTGCAGCAAGAGGATGTCAGAGTGTGGTCACAGAAGGCCATGCTGAGAACATGGACCCGGCAGGGCCCACAACAAGACAGGGCCAGAAAAGAGCCAGGACAAGGGCAAGGTCACTGAAGGGCCAAGGAAAAGGCAGGGCCACGGAGGAGCTAAGGTAAGGACAGGGCTATGTGAGAACCAGAGTCAGGGCCAGGGCAAGACAAAGGGAAGGAAGGGCCACAGCAGACCAGAGTAGGGCCAGGGCAAGGTCAAAGCTAACACAGGACTAGGAGAGCACAGGTTTAAGACAGGGCCAGTGAAGGGCAGGAAGGGCAAAGCCATGCCATCGCCAGGGCATGGTCAGGTCCATGGCTTGAACAAGGCAGGATCAGTGCCATACCATAACCAGGGAAGGTCCAGGGACAAGATGGGACCAAGATAGACCAGGACCAAGTCAGCCATAAGGTAGATTCAGTGACAGGGCATGGCTGCATCAAGGACAGGGCCAGTCCAAGTCCAGGTTCAGGAAAGGTCTAGAGCATGGATAGAGCCAGTGCAGAACCAGGAAATGACAAAGGCAGGTCCAGGGCAAAGTATGGTTAAGGGTAGGACCAGAGCAAAGCAGGACCAAGGTAGCACACGGCCTGGCCAAATGCAGGGGAGGACCATGGCAGGGGAGGACTAGGAGTAGGGCCAGGGAAAACACTGGGCTCTGGGCATGGCAGGGCCAGGGCAGAGGAGGGCAGTGCAGGGCAAGACTATACCATGGACAGAGTAGGCCTGGGGTTGTCATCCCAGAGCAGGGTGAGGGCAAGTCTGATAAGAAGGCAGGGCCAGAGCCAAGACAGAGCCAGGGAAGCGCAGGACAATTTCAGGGGAAGGGGAAGGTCAGAGCTTGCAGGGGCAGGGTCATGTAGATCAGGGACAGGATAAGGATAGGACCAGGGTCAGGGTCAGGGCCAGGGCCAGGGCCAGGAATATCATAGGTCCAGGGCCAGCTCAGGGCAAGGCAGGGAAGTACCAGAACCAGACCATGGGGCAGGGAAAGTCCCAAGGAAGGACCAGGTAGTACCAGGGCTGAATGACAGCTCCGAGTGCAAGGGCTGAGGAAGGATATGGGAAGGTCCATAGCTGAGCCAGGGTCAGATCGAAGACATGAACAGGGAGGGGTCAGGATCAGGACAGGTCCAGGGCACAACCAGGGAAGGGATAGGCAGGGCAATGGGAGGACCAGACCATGGCAAGGCCAAGTCACCACCGGGACAGGGCAGGACAAGACCGGGGTCACACAGGATAAAGGTAGGGCAAGTCCATTGCAGGGCTGGGGTTTGGACCAGAACCAGAGAAGTGCTGAGGCAGGGCCAGTGCTGGGACCAGGACTAGGAAAAAGGGCAATTTCAGGAACAAGGCAAAGAAAGATCCTCAGGGCCAGAGTCAGGGACATGGCAGGACCAGCAACAGGGCTAGGTACAGACAGTGATAGGACCAGAGTCAGGGCGAGGGCCAGAAGAGCGTGTACTGGGTTAGGGCTCAGGCAAATCAGGGCCAGGGCCAGGCCAGTGTCATGATAAGGCCTTTAGCAGGTCAGGACCAGGACAGGGTTAGTGCCATGGCCAGGTCTAGGACAAGACTGGGGCAGGAACATGATAGGGTCAGCACCATGGCAGGACCAGGGATAGGAGCAAGAGCCAGTGGTCAAGGTCAGGGCTATGGCCAGGTCAGAGTGGCAAGACCAGAAGCAGGGTGAGTGAGGTCAGGACCAGGGTAGAACTAGGATTGTGCAAGGTCAGACCCAGGCCAGAAGCAATGTATGGTCAGGCTCTAAGACACTGTGGCCATGTCTAGGCTGGGGCCAGGGCCACAGCAGATGCAGAGCCAAGGAGAAAGCAGAAACATGGAGGGTCCAGAGGAGGGCAAGATCAAGGCAGAACCAGAACCAGCAAGAAGCAAAAGCAGGGAGAGGGCAGTGCAAGGCCTGGTTAGGGCCAGTTCCAAAACAGGGCAGGGCTAGGATAGTACAAGGCATAGCAAAAAGCAGGGCAGGGGTCATAGCTGGGGTACAACTAGGAACAGGGCCAGGGTATTCTGG